GAGTTGGAGGTTGCTGTGAGCTGTAATGCCACAGCACTCTACCCAGGGGGACAGCTTGAGGCTCTGTCTCAAAAAAATAAAGAAAGAAAGAAAGAAAAATAAAAATATAATAAAAAAATTTTAAAAGCCTGGCATTGTAGTAGGTGCCTGTAGTCCCAGCTACCTGGGAGGCTGAGGCAAGACAATCACTTAAGCCCAGGAATTTGAGGTTGCTGTGAGCTGTGATGCCAAAGCACTCTACTGAGGGCAACGTAGTGAGACACTATCTCAAAAAAAGATTTTTGGTTTGGCACCTGTGCCTCAAGTGGCTAGGGCACCAGCCACATACACTGGAGCTGGTGGTTCTGAGCCTAGCACAGGCCTGCCAAACGATGACAACTACAACCAAAAAATAGCCTGGTTTTGTGATGGATCCCTATAGTCCCAGCTACCTGGGAGGCTGAGGCAAGAGAATTGCTTAAGCCCAAGAGCTGGAGGTTGCTGTGAGCTGTGACATCACAGAACTCTACTGAGGGTGACATAGTGAGACTCTGTCTCAAGAAAAAAAAAAAATGCATTCTGTCCTGCAGATTTGGCCTTAAACCTAATAAAGGGATTCCATATATAGGTGCTATTCTACTATCATGAGGCAAATATAACCTTTAACAGCAAAAATGTTTTAAACCTGACTAATCAAATAAATATACTGTTACCAAAAGTGAAACACTAAATATGACAGCAGACAACAATCCCTGTTTTCCATTTACTATAGCCTACTACCTTCTTGAATAACCAAATGTAAACGTTAATGGGCGATGCCTACGGCTCAAAGGAGTAGGGCACTCACCACATATGCTGGAGGTGGTCGGTTCAAACCCAGCCCTGGCCAAAAAAAAAAATCTGCAAATGTAAACATTAAAATATCCCATTTTATTTTTTCTACCTATCTAACTATACCACCATTAAAACACCTGAGTACCAGGTGGCGCCTGTGGCTCAGTGAGCAGGGCCCTAGCCCCATATACTGAGGGTGATGGGTTCAAACCGGTCCCTGCCAAACTGCAACAAGAAAATAGCTGGGCGTTGGGGAGGGCACCTGTAGTCCCAGCTACTTGGGGGGCTGAAGCAGGAAAATCACCTAAGCCCAAAAGCTGGAGGTTGCTGTGAGCTGTGATGCCACAGCACTCTACCGAGGGTGACAAAGTGAGACTCTGTCTCTTAAAAAAAAAATAAAAAATAAAGTTCTTCATTAAAAAAAAATCTGACTACAATCAAAAGCTATGTAATAATAATGCTTCTTCATCTATTCCTGCTTGTCTAATACTGCACTTCTGTTTTATTACTCCTAGCTGTGCCTTCTCCCCCAACTCAGTGCATGTGCCATTTCCCATGGTACACAATAGCTTGTCTACCATGACTACATATCATGACTGTACTAAAGCACACTTTATTCTTGAGGAAGCTTTCCTTGTTAAGCAAAAGAAGTCTGAGACTTCATCTCTACATTTCAGGTTTGTAATCTTAGTCAAGAATCTTAAATTTAGGGCAGCGCCTGTGGCTCAGTGAGTAGGGTGCCGGCTCCATATACCGAGGGTGGCGGGTTCAAACCCAGCCCCGGCCGAACTGCAACAACAACAAAAAAAGCCGAGTGGCGTGGCAGGCGCCTGTAGTCCCAGCTACTTGGGAGGCTGAGGCAAGATAATTGCTTAAGCCCAGGAGTTAAAGGTTGCTGTGAGCTGTGTTACGCCACGGTACTCTACTGAGGGCAACAAAGTGAGACTCTGTCTTTGCCAAAAAAAAAAAAAAAAAAAACCAACTTAAATTTAACTGTTGTGGCTATTCAGCTGCTGACTAATGTTAATGCCAGATTTTCTCCACATGAATTCTTAATCTACCCACCAACTTAGGTAGAAGAATAGTTTAAAATGTGCACACCTGATAATTTCCCTTTAAAATTCATTTCCAAGATGCATCAAACTGATTAAGATAAGATTCCCAGCAATTAAAAAGAAGAAGTT